CAGGGACATAGCTGCACGTAACTGCGTGATAACATCGCAGCTGCAGCTGAAGCTGTCGTACCCCGCGCTCAGCCGCGGCCCGCACTCGCACGAGTACTACAAGCTGCACGACCAGGTACAGAAAATAATTACATACCCACATACCAATGTTCGGCAAAGGCTGATCATACTTTAATATCGCACACAAGTCATGTTAATATAAGTCGTACATAAATCGATTTTCTGAATGGTTATATAACACCAGCATTCGCCCGCGACTCCGTCCGCATGGAATTAAAAAAAAGGAAAAGTAAGTAGCCTGTGTGTTCTTCCAGATTGTACCAGATTTCATCGAGATCCGTTTAGCCGCTTAGGCTACAAAATATAACAAACATCCATCCATTTTAACTTTTGCATTTATAATAGTATAACATTAAATTACAAAAGCTCTTAGAGCATATACTTTGACTAAACTATCGCACAACTGTTGTGTGATTGTCGATGGTTTCGTATTCAACTGTTTAGTTGCACAACTAAAAATTGTGTGCGGACCTCCATATAAGCTGATAGGTGCGAGACTAAACAGTTGTTCGATAGTTTAGTCAAAGGTGTGCACACTCTTAGTATTGTGACTGTAAAACATGTTAATTTCTATGTCTAATTGCATATTTTACGATATAACTAACTAAGTTAGCAGGCAAAAAAGGTAACATACGAGCTATATCGTTGAACGGAATCTCAAAAATGTATGAAACTCAACTAAGTGACGTGCTTGTTTTTTGTTTTACACATTTTTTTGGTATATTTTGTCCATTCTATTAACAATTTTTCGAGCTACATGATTGTGAGCTCTGTATCAATACTGGGTAGGAAATATAACTCCTCGACTATATGTAGATAATTTTCAGGTGATACCGCTGAGATGGCTGCCTTCAGAGGCGGTGCTGGAAGGAGATTATTCCACCAAATCTGATGTCTACATGTTCGCTGCTACTGTTTGGGAGGTAAGATATCTTAATACGACTAGTTTTAGTCCGCTACTCCGTCCGCGTGGAATTAAAAAAATAGCCTATGTTACTCAGTGGTAACGTAGCTTTTTAATGCTTAAAGAATTTTTTAAATCGCTTCAGTAGTTTTTGAGTTTACACATTACATACAAAATTAGAAATCTTTCCTCTTTAATATTAGTGTCAGTGTTCATTTACATAGAAATATGGAGAATTTTTAAAATAAATATGTCTTATGTCATTCAGTAGTAATGTAGCTTTCTAATGGTGAAAGAATTTTTAAAATCGGTCCAGTAGTTTTTGAATTTATACGTTACATACAAAAATACAAAACTTTTCTCTTTATGTTAAGACAATTTTAAGCGCGAATAAAATTAAAATAATCGAATATAGATTAAATATGTAACTAAATTATTATTTACAGATTTACACGAAAGCGGAGTTGCCATTTGCCAAATTGAATGACAATTCAGTACTCGAGAGACTCAAGACAGGCAAACAGGAATGGGTGACCCCGCCATCTATGCCGGAAAAACTAGCTACATTACTGGTAAGTATACCGTATTAAATATTTTAGTAAAACAGTAATTTTTTATTTAAAATATATAATGTGAAAATTATAACAATTAGTTAAATACCTAACTTGAACTATGATTGATCTTTGTTTAAATTATTAATCTTTGACAATAATGGCAACCATTATTATTGGTCGAAATTCCTCCATAACTGATATTTTTAAAACTTTACGCAATTTTGTATCGAATTTTACGTTAATTCGTACTCAATTTTTTTTCAAAAATGCATAAAAGTCCTCGCATCGTATATTAATATTTTTTTTTCTGTTACAATAACCAACTATTAATAAAAGCGATTTCTCACCAGGCTAGTGATTTAGTCAAATACCAAGTTATTTAGTAACTAAACGTAAATAAACAATGAAAATTTAGAAGTAGATTAGTAAATAAATCTGCCTGTTGTATACTATTTTTGGTCGAGTAGCAGAAACATTGGCTAAACTATTTTGACCCTATCGATTTAGTAGTTTTATTTTAAACTTATTTACAACGACAATAATACGAACCATTTTTTTACAATATAATAGCTAAATTACTCCGTAATCGACTAAATTACAGCACAAACCATAGGATTTTCAAAGATTGTTATTTTTTGTCTGTAAACAAGCTGGAGGCCGCATCAGCTGAACCTTCTTCTTTTGGCCAAAACTGATATTTTTTTTATTTCTCAAATATTTTTTGTATATTCTGTTTTGTTGTTTGGTCAATAAATATTTTTTTTTAGAAACGCTGTTGGAGTCACTCACCCACTGATCGTCCACAATTCACTGAAATATGCGAAGAACTTGGTAATATTTTGAAAGAAATAACCGCTGAGAATGCATCTCAACACTCACAGGCAGAAGTAGAAGAAGAAAGAACGGAGAAGTAAATCTTAAGTTGGCACGTGGAGTTCAAGGATGATCTTATTCTCCGCGTGCCAACTTAATTGCCGGTTTGAATTTTGAACGTTCATATTTATTATCTATTGTATATAGCTTTGCAATGTTTTGAAGGTTTTTATGTTTATTTAAAATTTTATAAGCTTATAGTTTTTACATGTCTTTTGGATGCTATTTATTTTATATTCTATTTATAGTTTTTTAAGACTGCGTATTTTTGATGTTTTATCTGTGCTTTTTGTGTTAAAAATTTAAGACGTCAATGTCAGAAAAAGGCGGGTAAATGCGATCGATCGGAACTTACAAATAAAGTTAAAATATGTTAGTAATAAATATTTTTTTAAAATCCGTGATTTAATTTGAATACTGGACGATTTAAAAAAACATTTTTGTTTTTTTTATACTCAAGGCTATATAGACATAGATAAAATTACTTCAAAGACTATAGAATTTAGGATTTTAGTCATTTTGATGCATTTACAGCGTTTTTATTGCATTTAGTATAAATTAGATTTAATTCTAAGACATCGAATGAAAATTTTGACAGATGTCACTTTGACGTTTCAAGTGACAGTTGACAGCAAATGTCAAATGACAGTTTGAATTTAGAATTTGGCGTTTTTTTCCTGTGAATACAATTTATTGTAGCCTTTAGCTGTTTAAGTTAGGAAAATAAGGTTCTAAGTTATTTTATAAGCGAAAAACATAAGCTAAAATGATACTGCCATTGATGTACATAGAATTTTCTAGTATTTAAGACTGATTCTAGATTTAATTATTAGATTTAGTTTGTTATTTTCGTCCGGTATTATCTGCACGTCCCGATACAATCGAAATTTGTAGAATAATTTTAGTGTAATTTAAAAGTTTTTAGTATCGAATATCGATATGAAATCGATTAAATAATCGATTAATCGACTAGTGGCTGTAATAGTTGCTTTTTACCCTACTGTACTGTTAAAACCGTTGAAAAAAGTTAGAAATAATGTCTTTCTATCGATATTTGATACTAAAACTTGAAAGTTATTTCACAACTTATTGTGAACATAAAGAAATAAATATTAAGGGCATTACAAAACTTAATTTAAAAAAAAAATAACATTTTGTCATTTGTCAGTTTGTAAACGCCCCATATGAACGGTAGTTTTTAAGTTTTAAGTATTCGGCCGTTTATAATAAAATCGCATAAAAAAAAATAATAAAAAAATATGCAGACGAATTGAGTACCTCCTTTTGGGAAGTCGGTCAAAAAGTTGTGAAATAACTTTTAAAAAAACCCCACATTTTGGTGCCATTTACCCAATTGCAATTGATGCGGAAAAATTCTTATTGAAAATTTGTATTTTGTACATTCAATTGATACCAGATTATGCATTTATAGGTTAGTTTATAACTATGGAAAATCATAGATTATTAAAAGCTAAGGTTTTCTATAGTTTATTATATTAATTAAGATTTATAGAGAGTAAATATACTTTTAATTCAAAAACGTTATTTTAAAGATCTTAAAGTTTGACATTACTTTTTTAAAAGGCAAAGGTTTCGATGACATTCAGCCAACTTTGATTTTAAAAAAATATTAAAAGTAAAACACGAAATTGTTTTAAAAATATTTGTAATAAATTCAAAAATTAAATCATAAAATTTTAGGTGCTTTTTTATATTGTCGGAAGATCTCATGATAAATTATAAATTAGTTTTTTTTTTTAATCTTTATTTTTAGTTCGATTAAGTATGAATGGAGAAAGTAATTGATTAAATACATTAAATTAAAACAAAGTAACGAACATATAGAGAAGATTTTTCTCTTAACATAAAAATAGAAATTTGTTTCCGGAAATGTTTTAAATAACTTTTTAACATAAGGGATGTGCCCTTTTTTATAATTTTTTTTACATTTATTTGTGATAGTGTCAATAAATGTATGGATGAAATTAATTTCTCTAATTTAGTAAAATATTAGATAACATAAGTTATACTCGAGATATAGTTTAGTTGATTTTTGAAATCAAGAATTTTTAGGTTAGAATTTTTTTCATAACTAAAATTAGATAGATATTTAGTATAAGTGCTTCACAGTTGCTAAAAAACGTGGGTTTACACTGCATTAAGAGTAAGTGTAGAACAATCATTCATAAACCTTCCGATATTACCACTGATATGTGTGAATGGATAGGCCATCGTTTAGAAATTACAGTTTTCATTTATATTTAAAATGTTTATAATCCTTAGCATTGCTCTCAATTGAAACAGCAACAGACAAAATAGCGATTAAATAGGCATAAAACATTTAAAGCCTGTCCATTTATATAGATCAGTGGAAGTAATAATTTCATGAATAAGCGAGACAACGTACACGTTAGTAATAAGTGTAGAAACAGAACATTTAGGAAAATGACAATTTTCACATTTATATAATTTATTAATAATTTCATATATGTATAGATTTGTTTTAAGTAACATCGTGTCAATTTGGTATTAAAATTGTTAAGATAAGAAAATATTTTTAAGGCAATTGGTGTTTTTATATTGTCTTAATGGCTTTTGCTTTCATTTATTTATATAAGCTTTCCAAATGAACTAAAATGTTTTATTTTTAATACATTTATTTTATTCGTATGAACAATTATTTATAATTTTTTTGTCTTCAATTTTTCTTCTAATTTGAATCATGAAATATTTGGAGAGATTGTTTAAAATTCATTTATAAAATACTCTTCTGTTTTTAAATATGTAATTTGACACAATTTTAACATGAATAGATATTATAGTTATACATGTAGAAGTTTTTATAAGAAATTAGGGTTTCCGATGAAAATAGTCAACTTAACAACTATACTCTTTTCTTCGGTGTCCGCAATTTACGGAACTACGGAATTTACGGAATCAAAGTATTCAAATATTTTGTCGGCTCGAAACGTTGACTTGAACAGGCAAGATATTTGAAATGGTACATTAGATCAGAATAGTTAAGTGATTATGAACCTTATGTTCTTTGTATTAAGATACTTTTCCGTCAAAACGACGTTTTTAGCTTTTTTATTATGTGATATAGACTGACATTTTTATACTTTCTTTTGTATTTGTGTAGCGTAATGAATTAAATAAAGGAAGTTTTGCGATTACGATTTTTTAATAAATATAATATTGTATGAAAATGTTTCATTTTTAACACAAATTCCTGTTTCTATATACTTAACTAGCTGTTCCCGTGCGACTTCATCCGCATAAAATTGTGAAAAATTTATTTTATTGTTTACATTTGTCAAATTATTAATTACACATGTCAAAATTACATGACACTATGACAATCTTGCTTCCTTTATGTTGGCAGCAACTTATGGTCTCTTTCCCACATTAGGGTTTTTATCCAAAATATTTGTCCCCTAAGTTTAATAGCGTCAAAATATATAGCCTAAAGCGTGACGTAAGTGTAGGGCTTTTTATTAAAAAAAGAATTATTCAAAAATATGGTGTAATCGCTGACATCTTAGGCAACAAAGAAGTGTTTGTTTACGCTTTATTATAATAGTATAGATAGATTGTGGCTAAAATAGATGTGGGTACAATAAAAACTACATTTCATAGTATAATATTTTTATTAAATATCTTTCAATTTACTTCTTTAGCTGACGTTAGTTATGGAATAAAAAATATTGAATATCTTGCGAAAAGACGTTACTATTCACTCGTTTCTAGGATCGAAATATTTTAGTCTTCATTCCAGTGAGAAAAGAAAGCTGTAAAAAAATATGGATTAACTACAAACATCCCTTTTAACCCCCTCCATAATAACTAACCCTCGAATCGTTGCTTACAATCTGATAAGAAAACATTTGTAAGGAATTTTGAGTGGCTTGAACTTACTTAGCGTTTCAGTATTCGACCTTATAACACTAAGAGCATGGCCACACCTATAACCAAACTATCGCACAACTATTGTGCGATTGTAAATTGTTTCGCAGCCTTCAACTGTTTAGACGACTAAAACTCAAGTAGTATGCCTCCATTTACGCTCATAGGAATCAAAGCGAGACTAAACGGTTGTGCGATAGTTTGGTCAAATGTGTGTGCGCTTTTACATGTAATATGTTAGTCTCAAAACGTGCAACAACCTTTGACTATCTCACTTGAGGACCCTAAACCCATTCGGTGGCCATCCTGTCAAATCCTAGATAACCCTGCCTTCCCCCCAGAGGGCAAGGTATCTTTTAAAGATTTCTCCCACGACGTCAAAAAAAAATGTTTTCGCCCGCCGTGTGCATAGAATTAAAAAAAAAACAAAAGTTTTTAACCTAAGTGTTCTTCAAAATTATTTACATTTATATCAAATTTAATCGGAATTCTAACAAAACATCCATCCATCCAAATTTTCGCATTTATAATATTAGTACGTAAAATATACATTTCTTTATTTTATACTTACCGTGGATTTAAACGGATTTGCTCCGTCCTTTTTAATCTGTATCATATAATCTTCACGATTCTATAATATAAATAGTCAATTCTATAAAAACACATAAAAAAAAACTAGCTATTGCTCGTGACTTCGCCCGCGTGAAATTAAAATATAGTAAAAATGCCTATGTTACTTAGTGATAATGTTGCTTTTTGATGGTGAAAAATTATTGAACCCAGTAGTTTTTGAGTTAGTAAGTCCCTTTTCCTGTCCGTCCTTTTCTGAAGAGGAAAGGATGCGAAAGAAAAGTTGATTTGACTGCGGAGGAGACGCATAGAACTGGAAATATCCTATTTATTTGAGTCTCCTCTTCCATCTAAGGATAGGCAACGCATCTGTAATTGCGGATGTCTATGGGCAGCGTTCGTTTCGCCATTTCGGCGAATTCAGGCCGCTTGTTTTTTACCACCTTGTAATATATAAACAGTGAGTGTTTTTATTTACATACCATGCTTCGTTTTTTCCAGAATATTCTGTGTCTTCGGCCCTTTTTTTTAGTACCACCTCTATTAGTGTCCGTGGCGCCTTTAGCAAGTTTGAAATGCTTCGGACCAGAAAGAGCCTGGAAATATTCCTTACCTCATCATCAACTTGTCACTATGAAAGCCTATGAAATGCCTAGCATGTGCTGCTCCATTCACTTCTACCAGCCGTCATATCTGAATTCACTTCCTTCATTATATACTCTTTCACACAATCCATACTTTCTTATTTTGGTTATGTCCCCATCCTCTCGTCGCATAACATAAATACACGTGAAATACTTCAATCATATTATCATATATCTATATCTATACTCTATACTAATATTATAAAGAGGAAAGATTTGTATTTTTGGTTTTTCGTATTCGATTCACGTAAAAACTACTGAACCGATTTCAAAAATTCTTTCACCATTAGAAAGGTAATTTATCTGTGACTAACATAGGCTTATTTTTATTAATTTTAAACAGCCGAAATCGCGAGCAACAGCTTTGTTTATAATATTCAATTTCGCCCGCGTCAAATTAAAAATTAAATGATAAAAATATAGCCTATGTTACTTACTGATAACGTAGGTTTTTGATGGCGGAAACATTTTTGAAATTAACCCAGTAGTTTTTTATTTATTTCAATACATACAAAAATCCAAATATGCCAATCTTTCCTCTTTCTAATATTAGTAACTATTGATAAGAGAGAATTAATATACGTACTTTTGTCATGCAGAAATCTTTATAACAGGCCCGGAAATTATAATCACCCCATTCTATGCACTGAAAATGAAAAGAAGTTATCATTAATCATAATAATCATATATCTTACTAACATTATAAATGCGAAAGTTTAAATGGATGGATATTTGTTAGCGTTTGTAGCCTAAACGGCTGAACGGATCTCCATGAAATTTGCCACAGGTTTAGAGCATAGTCTGGAAGAACACATACGCTACTTTTTATCTCGTGAATAGTTACGGTTCCCGTACGACTCATTAATTTAATTTATTAATGTTTACTCGATCAATCTGCAACGGTTCAACATATCTTATTGAAATTTGGCACAGATATAAAACAAAGTCTGGAGTACACATGGGATAAGCTTCATCCCCGAAAAATGTCCGGTTCCCGAGGGATACTTAGCTTTTTGTTATTTATATACTTCGTATGTTTTAACTATGAATCTTACTTTGTAACATTACAAACGGAAAAGTTTAGATGGATAGCAATACCACTTTGGATATTTTAAAATATTTTTATAAGCGATTTTCTAAAAATTAAAAATGGAACTTACGTCATTTGTATAGAAAAGGTCTAACATCAGTAAAATCAACAAATAAATTGGTGAAGACATTTTTTTATCTGTGATTCTGAAAGTAGAATTATTTTAAATATTATAAATGCGGAAGTTTAGATGGATGGATGGATGTTTCTTAGAGTTTGAAGCCTTACCGGCTGAACGGATATCGATATTTGGTATAGATGTAGAGGATAGTCTGGAAGAACACATGGACTAGGCTTTCATGTAAATGTTAACAAAATAAAACTAAAAGAACAATGAAACATATTTTTTTCTAACCTAGAAATATTTCATAAACTTCGCTTTGCTTAACTTACCTATTTTAAATGGA